AGTGGAGGCAAAGAGATCAGGACTTCACGGTCATCCTTGGTTACATAACAAGTTCGAGGCCAGCCTGGTCTATTGGAGAACTTGTCTAGGAAGAAAGAAAGAAAGAAAGAAAGGAAGGAAGGAAGGAAGGAAGGAAGGAAGGAAGGAAGGAAGGAAATAAAAATCAATGCATCCAGATAAAAACGTCAGAGGTACTGCGGCTTGACAGGAAGTCTCAGGAAAGGTTTTGCCATGCACAGGGCCCGGAGGAAGATCCAGGTAGAAGCTGACCTGGAGAACAGCTTCAACACAGGTTACAGAGATAGCTCAAGGCTGGAATGCAAAATTGGTTTAGATCTATCACTACTGATGACTCGGGTCATCCAGGCCTCTGCTTTGCTCTCTATATAGGGAAAGTGATGAAGTTGGAGTTGGTGGCTCATACCTGTATGCCAATCACCCTGGGTTCAAGGCCAGCCTGGGCTAGGGTGAAGTCCTGTCTCAACAAACAAAGCAGGACTGCTTGCTGTTCACTAGTCCCCATCTATGCCACCTTGGGCTCTGTTGCCACTAATCATTTATGACAGAAGCCCCTACCCTCCCAACACTTGACCTGCATGTCCCAAGGCGTGGTCTCCCTCTGAGCCCAGACCTATACGGTTGCCTGTGCCAACCCCTTCCAAGTGGTGGCCTCCTTGCTTGAGTCACCCACCATTCGGCATCCCAGGGGAGGGGCCAGATATCTGGGGACTCTTCCCTACTCGTACCTCTCGGACATTCCTCCCAGGATGATGACTGCCTGCCTCCTAACTCAACCAGACCACAAAGACTGTGGGAGTCAAGTTCAGCCCCCTGCTGGGGAAGAGAGTGATTTTGCTCCCCATTTCCACACTGGGGAGCCTCTGGACACCTGCTGTAGGCACACATGGTATTTCAACCAAACTCCCAACAGCTGTCTAGGCTGGGAACTTTTGTTTGTTTATTCTATTCATTATGGATACAATATTCTGTCTGTGTGTATGTCTGCAGGCCGGAAGAGGGCACCAGACCTCATTACAGATGGTTGTGAACCACCATGTGGTTGCTGGGAATTGAACTGCTTTGGAAGAGCAGACAATGCTCTTAAACCACTGAGCCATCTCTCCAGCCCTTGTTTGTTTATTCTTAATGTCTACACTTATTTATCTGTTTGTGGGCACACACCATAGCATGCACATAGAGGTCAGAGGTCAATCTGCAGGAATTGGTTCCCTGGTCCTACCATGTGGGACCCTGGGATTAAACTCAAGAAGTCAGGCTGCTTGGTGGCAAGAGCCTTTAACCACCCATCCCTCTCACCAGCCCAACTTTGTTTTTTGAGACAGGGTTTTACTCTAGCCCAGGCTGGCCTTGAACTCATGGCAGTCTTCCTATACGAGGAATACAGATATGAGCCCCCCCCTCCTCCAACTAGAACCTTCCTTGTACAAGGCCCTATTTTTGTTCCCCCATTTGTTCTCATTGCTGTCTCTGTGAAGAAGGGCTGAAGACCCTTGATAGCACTAGCAAATCTGCAATGGGTGGGCCACAGTGCAGAGTGGGCTCTGCAGCACCGAGGAAAGTGACGTGAGGATTCGGGGGATCTTGCCACTTCATGCACGTAACCCAGAATAGCTTCCTGAAGTTTAGCGCTATGCAGCCCAGGAGGCTGTGGAACTGCACCTCTGACTCATTGGAACATCCCTGGACCTGGGGATGGTGGGAAGAACACTGGCAGGTATCCTGAGCCGAAACCATCCTCTGGTTGAAATAACTACAAGAAACGTTGAATTGAGGGACTGTTAAAACAGTTTGAACTGCAGACCTTCTCCGAGCCTTCACTGTGCTAGCGGGCGCTGTGTGAACTAAAGGGCAGTAAGTGTGCTGTGCTTTCCAAGCCTATTTGAGTTCTCATTTCCCCCGATGCCCACAAAGAAGGGGTGGTCATTCGACAGTGGGGCCAGACTTTCCAGCTACTTCTGTTCTCAGAGGAAACAGGGAAAGCTGTCCTAAGAATCTGAATTAGTTGACATGAGGCAGCCCCATTTCCCTGGTGAGGAGGAAGTGGGGTACTATGACTGCCCGGGACTGGCTCTGAGAATCCCTCCAACGGCCCAAGAGGTAATGCTTAACTCTACTTTTCCAGAAATGGAATTTGTGGCGACTACACTGCTGGGAATTTAAATTCCAAGCAGAACTTGGCAAGGAAGATCCGTGCAGTCCAACCCCCTCCTAAGCCCTGCCTCCTCCTGCAGCACCTGGACAGAGGGGCTCAGCCAAGGAGTCTCTCTCTGAAGGCACACAACTGTGACCACAGATGCCATTTCTGAAACCCAGGTTTACCAGGTCTCATTTCAGAACCCAGAAGTGTTTTAAGACACTACAGAGTGTCCGTGTCCACTTGAAAGTCACCTCCCGGAGCTTGTTCTGCGCTTGTATGTGAACCAGTCCACCTTCCTCTCTGCTCCCAGAGCCAGAGGGCTACTCAGGACCCTTGGCTTATCTTCAGCTCCCAGGACTGAGGTTCCAGGGGCACAATAGGCTTCTGTGCCCCTGTATCCTCACCTCCCCCAATGCCAGCTGCATTCATGGTGTTTTGCTATTGTGGTGGGAGCAGCCTAGGGGCGGTGCAGGAGGGGGTGGGCTCTTGGCACAAGGGCTGGTGCAGACGGGCTATGGTCAGCGGTCAGCATGCAAGTCACATCCGCAGGCACTGCCACCAGGCCTGCCAGGCCTCGAACAGAATGGCAATGCTGCTTGTGGATCCTGGGTCCCTTTCTAAGTGCCTTCTTGTGACATGAAACTTGCTGCCTTTGCACCTAGCCCCTTGGTGGTGGCATTGACTTGGGGGGGGGGGAGTCCTCACCTTCTCAGCCATATCAGATTACTAACTAAGCCCTGGACTCAGGAAAGGCCCATGCCCAAGCTGGAGTTTTGAGAGGGTTGAAGAGGTCAAAGATTGGGAGGTAAGAATGAGGGAGCCAGAACCCAAGAGAGCTTCCAAGGAAACCATAAGTCTTTAAGTGTGAAAAGTCCCTCTAATCTCCCCGGTTCAGGCTGTCTGCTGGCAGATATTCTCTTGTTTATATATGCCTCCAACCTTGAACATACCACCTGGGGTGACAGCAGAGATTAAATCTCCTCAACAGGAAAGCTGAGGCCCAGAGAGATGGGAGCTCCCTGGAGTCCGATCAAGAGACTTCCCCCACCCACTACGGCTCCAGCTCCTCCCACGCGAAGCCTCTTCTTGAGGGAAACGGAGGTAGGAGACAGGTCTCACGGAACCACAGCTAGGATCCTGGAGACAATCACTGAATGATGAGCAGCAGAGAGCGGAGACCCGGCGTGAGGAGCAAGGCAAAACCATCATGGGGACAGAGGGAGTCTAGTAAAGGCTTGTTGGGGCCCTGCTGGACCTCTGGGTCATGATCACCTTTTCCCTAGATAAAAGACCCTCCTTTGAGTGTGCACTTCCTACCCACTAGCCTGCCTTCTGTACTCCTACATTCCACGTCACTCCTTAGCCCCAGGGCCCCCATTCCCACCCTTGCATAGAAAAGCTTGGTGAGAAAATTAATAATGGAAAAGATCCATGTACTAAAGAAACTCCACAAACAGTTCCCCAAAGTCACTGGTCACCTGAAGCCAGCGCCTCAAAAGACAACAAATTGTCCTAAGAAAGGAAGATGCCAGCCAGGAACCATTGCACAGGACAGAAACCATGTGTTAGGGTTTATAAAGAGCCCTGGCATGCGAATGCTATTCCCCTGGCTCTCCTGACACCTGTCCAGCCTTGCCACCGCTCCCAGCCCTCCTGCACTACTTCTACCCCCACAGGGCAGCCTGGGAGGTGCTGGCCTTGCCATATGAACACATATCTGAGACCGGAAAGGGTGACCTTCTGGCTCCACAACTCAATCCCAACACACCTCAGAATACACAGGCCTTATTCCCAGACCACGGCTAGGTCAGAAGAAAAGTGAAAGTGACCCCTGCCACCATGTGTGTACCCCTCTATCTCCTGCACCTTAGCAGAGGGAAACCACAAGGGAGCAAAAGAAAGAGGTACAGAGGGTATCAGCAATTCCCAAACCGGAGTAAACGGGGGAGGGAGGGTCGTGGAAGATAGACTCTGGGGAAGGTTCTGGATAAGACCCCCACAAAAGAGGCTGGGAGGTCATGGCCACCTGTGTATTTGTCTAGCTGGAGACAGGCACTGGACAGTAGACTTTGTAACCAAATTCATTGAACAGGCAACCTTTGCAACACATTCAGGGTTTGGGGAGAAGGCACTCAGCAGCTGGAGTCCTCTCTCCCATCGCCACAGCGCCCCCCCCCCCAAGGATTTCCCTTTCATTTCCTTCCAGCCTGGGAAGGCAGGGGACAGAGCAGTCTGCTAGGTCAAGCCCTCAAAAACCACTTCCTATGTGGTTGGGGGAGGGCAAGCAGCTGCAGGATGGATCTAGGGGTTCCCGAGTAGTGGGAATAGGAGGAAAAGACCCTGGAAGGTTCACTGCTTTCCAGGGAGTCCTCCAGGCAAAGAACCATGGGGGGGGTCGGAGAATGCTTTTAGGCCCTTCCAGAGGAGTTCAGAGCAGGCTCTGCAACTGCCTAGGTCCCAGCTGCCTGCAGTCAGAAAAGTTAACAGCGCTGGAGAAGGAAAGTCTAGGAAGAGGTTCCCCACCCTAGCCGCACCCGGGCAGTCTGAAGAGAATCCGGAGACACCCCTAAGCCTGCTTACTAGGAGCAGAGCTCCGGGCTGGAAGAGGGGGCGGGAGGGCCCTGCCCAGGCCTGAGCTGCTCCGAGCGGTTCTGCCGGGAGGTGACGCGCTCCGGGCGCCCCAGGGACTTCGTGCCGCAAGTTTGGCAAAGCTGATCCAAGCCCAGCCAAGCCGAGCCGGGCAATGTGAGGCCAGCCCGGGCCAGGCCAAGGAGAGCAGAGCAGATAGGAGAAAGGGGTCTGGAGCAGTAGGCACGGGGTTGGCGCGCGCTGGGGCACCCACCTCTCCGCGCTGCAGCTGGAAGACGCTGTTAAGATAGCTGGAGTGCAAGGGAGAGCCCAGCTGCTCAGGGCGGCCTTTGCCGAAGGCCAGCTCCGGGGGCGCGGCGCCGGCGGGCGGCTCGGGCCGGAAGGCATCAAAGGCGCTAGCCTGGTGTGTGTCCTGAAGCGACAGGTAGACCCAGTTGAGTAGCTGGGCCGGCTGGTACACCGAGGCGGCGCTCGTGTCGATGGCAGACAGCAGGCTCATTTTGCCGTGGCGGTGCCGGCCCCTCCCCGGCCGCCCGCTCGCGCCCCCCTCCCGGCGGAGGGGCGGGCACCGGGGAGCCTGTGCCCACTGCCAGCCGCCCCGGCCCCGACGGCTATCGCTCAGAGCCCCGTGCCCCGCGCGTTGCCCGCAGCCGCTGCCGCTGCTGCCGCCGCCTCCCCGGACTGCAGCAGTGGGCGCGCGCGGGCGGAGGAAGGAGGCAGAGAAAGTTGGGCAGGAAACTTTTGGCCCCGCCCCGCCCGCTGCCTGTCCCACCCCGCCCGGGGATCCGCTATCTGCCTCTGCGTTGACCCCTCCAGAGACCGCTTCTAGGGTGGGGTCCTCCGAGACCCCGCCCCACCCCAACCCATCTGGCCCCCCATCCTCGCTGCCCCATTGGCTAAATATGGATATAGGGGAGGGGCAAGAAAGAAGGCGAGTCCGCACATGCAGCACCCTGCCGGCCCCCACACCAAGAGCGGCCCCTCCCGAGCCTCCTCCTGCCCCCTCCCCCGGGCAGCGCAGCTCCACACGGCCGAGCTCAGAACCGACTGGGCCCAAACACTCAGCCTGCTTCACTGTGTGCTGTATCCCAGACACTCTCCAGTTAATTCGTTTTTACATCTTTTTTCCTCCTTCCCTCTTCTTGCTGTTAGTCTGATTGTGTTTCTGTGACTTTCTCGGTGTTCTCCAATGCCTCTTTAAACGTGTCTAGTTTGAAGCTTCCTTCTGTCTCCCTCGCCTTCCTCAAATACACACACACACACACACACTCCTCTCGCTATCGCCATAGGGCCTTCCCCCTCCCCCTTAATTCCTTCCATCTGCAGAACCGCTTTGCTGACGACCTGCGCTGGGGGGGGGGGGGGCGGTTCCTACCCGAGGAAAGACTCCCCTTCTCTCCCGCCCCACCTCGTTCCCTGACACTACCTCCTCTGGACTTCTGTTTCTGCTTCAGGTCGGCCTAGGCTTTTCTCCTCTCCTGCTGCCTGGCTCCATCCTCAGCCCTCCCTAGTCTCTTGTAGGGGTTCCAGGACCCTAGCCTGACCTAGAAGATAACAGAAACCCACACTAACCCCTGGCTTCCCAGATCCTGATGCTTTAACCTCAGGGTCCCAGGATGGTGTGTGCTGCCCCGTATCCTGGGTCCTAACAACTATGTATGCCCAGTCTCTCAGTTCCCACGGAGAGGAACTGACTGCCCTATGGGGGTACTCAAGTCACCTGCATCTCCAGTTTGGCTCTGGAGCCATTCAGCCAGGAGTTAAAGTGACAGAAAAGGGACTTCTGAATAGCCACCTCACTTCTGCCAACCAGTCTGTGTTCTCTGTAAAATGGGAACGATCATATTCAAACTTGGTGTTTGTTGAGTGGAAGCTTGAATTTGGTAAGTAGAAGTTATTTCAGGAAAAGCCACTTTCCCCCCACTAACCTCCATGCCAGGGCAACTCAGTTCATCTATAGATGCTTGGGCCAGACAGTGGTGACCAAGAACTGCCCGGTGTCACCAACCAAGATCCCATTTGATCTCAGAGCTCCATGTTTTGAAAGAATTCATTTATCAAACAAGTGAGAGTTATTAATTCAAATGACAATATGTATGCCAATAAAATCTCAATACGTTTATTCATCAAAGACACATCTGTAAGATGAATGTAGTGGTACATGTCTGTTATCCCAACATTAGGAGAGTGGAGGAAGGAGGACCAGAAGTTTAAGGTCAGCTTGGGCTACATGAGACCCCATCTCCAACAGAACAAATCACAACTCAGCATTTCTACAATTCTGCTAGAGACTTTGAGTCTCTAGAAATATGAGTTAGGATTCGAAAACACCCTCTACAGACTTTATAAAGAGAAGTGATAAACACTAGAGAGATAGGGGTTTTATCAACTGAGAGCAAGTATTGCTTTTGCAGAGGGCCTAAGTTTGGCTTCCAGTGTCCCTGTCTGGTGGCCCACACCACCAGTACCCTTTTCTGGTCTCTTTGAGCACCTGCACTCAACATGCCCTTACAACCATACCCACCTTCCCTCTCACACGCACATAGTCAAGGTAAAATAATAAATATTTTTTTCAAAGGTAGATGATATCTTCCAACTGCACAGCGGAGAGTTGGGAAGCCGAGCGGAGAGCCTGAGATACCCAGCAACTCAGTTCTATTTGTCCCCCTAGCTTTCTGGATGAAGTTGCCCTGTGCTGTCAAAAATACTGACATTTCTCCCCTAGTATGAATTACAGACCCAGACTCCTTTAGAGGTCATACAGAGGTCGCCAGACATGAGTAGAAAGGTGGTGCTGGACAAACAGGACACTTTTGTCCCATTCCCACCTTGAGACTTGTCTGATACCTTCTTAGAGAGAGACACTGGCCTCTTCCTGGCCTCCAGAATGATCTGACGCCAGGAGAGTGCTTGTGCTTGTTTGACTGGTAACCTCTGTGTCTTCCTCCCCTCCCTCTCCTTGCAGTTCCTTACCAGAGCCTAGTGCCTGGCAGGGGTTGGTATGGAAATATTTGGTGGGTTGAGAGGTAGGCAGATGTAAGGATAGCAAGACTGGGTTCCTTGGAAGCCTGGGTGGCCTCTGCGGATTTGCAAGTCTCTCCTTCTCTCTGTCATTAGCATACTTGCTCAATATGTGGGCTCTGTACCCGATAAATGATCAATAAATGTGAACAGCCTATGGTCAGTTTGTTTGGCTAGCATCCAGCTGGCCTGAGGTCAGCCCCCAGTTGTCTGCTGGAGAGAAATACCACAAATATTCTGCGATAACATAAGATGTGGGATGGGGTTGTGGGTAGAAGTGACAGGAAGGCAACCGAGGACTGGTCCTAGGCCAATAGGCTGGGCCAGACCCATCCCTGTGCCTCCCGGCCCAGACATACACTTTAACAAAAGAGAAAGCATGTGGCCCAAGCAAGGGAAGGGACTTGCCGGGTCACATAGTAACCCTGATTACTAAGTCACCTGCTCCTGGCCATACCCTGAGTTCCCATACTTGTCCCAGTTTGGCAGCTTTGCTTCTGCTGATAGCCTTGGAACTGGGGGTAGGGGAGAGTGTTCATGTGAGGCTCTCATCTCTGCCTCCTTCACACCAGGGGATCCTCTCTGGTTCAGGGCCACAAGGTGGAACATTGGGGAGAAATCAGGCTTTAGAGACCCTTGAGCAGGTTCCTACCTTCTCTTTAAACTGGGATGGTGGCTAGCTCGTCCCTACCCACTTCTTCAGGGACTAGTGGAGCTAGCTTTGCTAGCTGTTAGCAACCATGTGGCAGAGAAGGGTGACGCTGGCCATCTCAATATCAATAATACTCTTGCTGTCTAAGAAAATAAGGGGAAAGGTAGCAGGGACATCTCTGTCCTGTAGTCACCCAGGATATGGGTCTGAGAAGTCCTAATAGGGTTTTAGACAAGAACTCTGAGGTCAAAAGAACAGGAGAAATGGAGGAAGTAGAGGGAGCTGGGCCCTGGGGAGGGATTCAGTCTTCACTTGGGACCAGTGAGGCAAAAGAAATGTTCAGGAGAGATGGGGCTTCACTATTCAATACAAGCCATGCAGCTTATCTCGCTGCAAAACAGAGCGTGGTGATTTATCACACAGAGAATCCAGAAGTCTGCAGATCTCTTGGTTTTCCCAAATAGCGCAGGATTACAATGGAGCACCCACTGAACAAACCTGAGGTTCTTCTGCCCCCAGGGTCGGGCACTTGGGTGCTTTTAGGCTGTGTGTTGACACAGAAGGTGTCAGTTTACAGCCGAGAGGGCAAGTGACAAATGCTTTCCTTACTCGGGCTCCTGTCCCATCCCCCACCAGGACAGCTCTCTCCAGGGCAGACAGATCTTCCCAAATCTGACTTCAGGTTCTCTTTAACACAGCACTCCAGCTCCCTATTTTTAAGAAGCTGGCATGGATCCGCAAAATGAAAATTACTTCGCACCCCAGCTTTCTGTTCCCCTTCTGTGCATGTGTACACTGAAGGCAACTTCTTACCCAAGGACACAGCCCTTTGTCATCAAAGCACACAGCTTACAGAACACTAGCTAGATTTTGCCCCCACTGACCCCAGATGTCCTTCTGCAGTGACCAGATGGTAAAGCCATAAGAGCAGGGCAGCCTGACCACACTAGAGCCCTCACACAGCCTTTAAGAGAGCAGCAAGAGATTGGGGGTACAGCTCAGTCGAAGACTGTTTGTCTAGCATGTATGAGGCCTTGCATTCCACACCCAACTCAGAGAGAGAGAGAGAGAGAGAGAGAGAGAGAGAGAGAGAGAGAGAGAGAGAGAGAGAGGTGGTGGAGGAAAAGGGAAAGGGAGAAGAGAGGGGCAAAGGGTAACACCTTCACCAACCTTGGGCTCAGTCTCCTACAGGGTGTAGGTTCTGAGTGGTAGGGAAAGGCTTGGTCCATTAGAGACCAAACTCTTCCCAGCTATGAGACTTTGACAAGCTGAGTGTCCGGCCAGAACAATATCTCGATGGAAAGAAAAAAAATCTCCTGCCGTTGCTTGAAACCCAGGATCACTCAGGGAGGACTGGGTAGCCTAAGGGCCTGCTATTGGAAGGCCTCAGTGGGTACCTGCCTGGTCTCAGGGCTGCAGAGCATTGAGAGATGAGCTTGGGAGGAACAACCTGTGGACAGGAGGCCTGGACAGCCTGCACATATGGCCCAGGCGATCTGGCAAAATCCCCTAAATTTTTGGTACCTGGAAGTCACAGAGACAGGCTAGGAGCATCCTCCAAAGAGGAGTTGGTGGGCAGCAGCCACTCTGCTTCCACTTTCTGATTTCACATCCGTTTTCAAGAAATGAAAAGAAAAAGAGGCAGGTGATATGCATTGCATCAATGGCCTGTCAGCAAGCTTCCACCTCTGGAAGGACCTCAGGTCTCCAGCGGTCACTCTAGAGACACCTGGTCTTGCAGGGTTAGTGGTCCAAACAAGAAGATGGGCTTCTGTGCATCACAACAGTGGAAAGCAGTCTGGAATCCTTCTGTGTTTTGACTTATGGGACATTTGTTTAGGAGCTGGGATTAAAATACCTACCCTGAAGCTTAGTGAACAGAGCTCTCCAAGCTACTTGGAGAAAATTCTTGTCCATATCAAAGGACAGAGGGGGAGGACTGACAATTTGAGGGCCTCCTCCCTAGTCACCCCATATCTTCCTTTCATATTCAGATTCTTTTTATGGAAGTTATCTGCATGAAATCCAATAGTCACTGGGCATGGCATTCAAGAACTTGTCCTTACCTGATTCCTGACCCCACCTTCTACCGG